TCTCTCTTCCTTTCCCTCCTTTCCTTCTCTTCCTTTCCCTCTTTCCTTCTCTTTTTATCCCCTCTTTCCTTGCTCCTTTTCTTCCTTCTTTCCTTCTCTTTCTTCCCCTCTTTCCTTCCTTCTCTCTACTCTCTCTCTTTCCTACCCTTTTTCCTCCTTCTGTGGCCCAACTCTAGTGAGAAGCGGTTTAAACTTTAAACCCCTTCTCTCTTTGCTCCCCCCCCGCAGGCCAGCTGGGGAAGGGAAGGGGAGGCTTTTGAAGATGCCTCCCCCTTTTGCTTCCCCTTCTGACATCACTTCTGGTGATGTCAGGGGGCGTGGCATATGCTAATAGCCTAGTAGCTCATTAGCATACCATATGTTTTTCTACAAAAAGACCCCTGTAAGAACCATATATTTATCCCTTTCCAAGTGGCTCCTTTATCCATACAATACACAGGTCATTGCTGAAGAAGTAGGGAAGTGACTCTCACACCATAGCAGTAATTTATTCATTGGGTCCCATGCATAGCCAAATAGCCAAATGGCACTTCCCAGGAGAGAATTTCCTCAGAGAAATTATGAAAAGTGGTTTGTGTATATAGCATAGTCCATTCCTTTGTGTGTGTGTTTAGTGTTCTGGCAACAGCATACCATGTTAACCACCAGCCAAGGAAAAAAAGAAAACAATCTCGCTTGTAGGATCACTTTCAGCATTGAGGTTTGATGGAATGATTGACAGGAAGGCAAGCCTAATTCAAGTCACTGGAAACTGTAAGGTACTTTTCCACTTGACTCTGAGCTGCCAGGCAATGTTCTTGAACTGTGCTTGGGTAGTGAGTGTGCCGGGTTTCCCCCTTTTCTTGCACATGGCTGCATGGAATAAAACTTCATGTACATTTTATGAGGTCAAGTGCTGAACAGGAGAGTCTGCAGGGTGCTTCAGGAAATGTCTAAGGACCAGTTTATACCATTGGCATAACTGAGTTGTAATGCTTTTCTGGATTGTTCCATTTTGGCTACAAATTTTTAAAATATTATTTCATGAAAATAAATTTCTGCATAAAGCTTATTCTTTTTCCTCATGAGATTTTTCTGTGTCCAAATAGGGTATGCTTATATAAATGGTGGAACATTCAAAATGAAACCCCCTTGCATCTTGAAGTGGTAGAGTCAGGAAAGGTGCTGTCTACTTGACTTTGTTTCTTGTATGAACTGTAGGCATGATGAACATGTTCAAAATGAAGACTTCAACTGTAGAGGAAATACTGCAGTTTACAAAGGGATTTATAAAAAATCTGGTAGCTAGGTCCATCAATGGCTGTTAAGTAACCAGCATGGCTTAATGAGACTTTCGTGTTTAGATGCAATATACCTTTGAATGCCATTTGCTAAAAGGCAACAGCAATGACAGGTTATAGTTTGTGTGCTATTGCTGGGGGAATCTGGCTGGCCTGTGTGGGAAACACAGATGATGATGATGATTTATTTGATTTATACCCCGTCCTTCCCACCGAGGCGGGCTCAGGGCGGCTTGCAACAGTTCATAAAATACAATTAAATACAGTAAAATACAATAAAACCTATCATAGGCTTATAAATTACTTAAAATGAATTTCTGGTCTGATCCAGCAGGGCTGCTCTTATGCTATAACCACTGGATTTTCCAACATGGCAAATGATTTAATCAAACTGAAAAGTTTGTAACTGGCAGGGAATTATGGCATTCTGGTAAAGCTTTTCCAGTGCAAGATCAACAAGGGGGAACTCCAGCATTTAATGACTCTTTAAGTGTTTTGCCAATTCCTCATATCTTTGTTCCACATGGTGTCATTGGGTGCTAGATTATTACCTGGACTTCTGAACCTACGTAATTGCTGAAGCAACAATAGGTTTTACAGTTGTTGGTGTCAGTTCTGTTTGCCACCGTGTTGGAAGTAAGTCTGTAGCTAAAGGGTAGGGAAATCTCACCCCCACAGGCCCAAACGTACTATTTTATTTATTTAATTCGATTTGTATCCCACCCTCCCCGCCGAGGCAGGCTCAGGGCGGCTGTGTACTATGTGCCATGTTTCTAGTTGCTTCTTCTTGGGGAAAGATGGGGGGGGCACTAGTTTACACTTTGCCCATTACCTTAAAGCAGCCTCACCCATCACTAATATCTGACAATTTTGTTTATTTACATGACTTGTGTCCTGCCTCACAGCCAAAGTGTCTCCTGCAGTTCTGTTTGTCCTCATCAGCACTCTTTCTGTGGCTGAATGCACTTTTCTTTGTTAGGCCGCAGAGGCCATGATATGCCACAAGCATGCTTCTTTGACTGGCCCATTGCTTCCATTGGACCTAAAAGGAGGCAGATATTCTGCTTTCCATTTCCACTTCGGAAACTTAACCCTTTCCCTGAAAATTATGCATGTTTGAGGTAGGATCGCAATGGAAAACCCTAGTACAATGTATAGGTGTTCACTTAACTATACATACAGCAACAACAGTCAAATGTTGGTCAGTAAAATGGTCTGCTACCACCTCCAAAGAGGTGTATACTATACACATACAGGTTTTGTGGTAAGGGTGTATGCATAATAATTCAGAACTGAAAAACCATTATGTGATGTGCTTTGTCACATTAAATGCCATTGGCTGAGATATACATATGGAGTATACATTTTAAAAATAAACATAAATCTGACTTTCATTTATTTCCCCTTGTCCTTGGTGCACGTGGGCAGGTACATCTGTTGCTTATTCTGTGATCTCCTTTTCAGAATTCAGGTTGCCTGTCCTCTTAGTTCATCCTTTTGTTGCCTCTTTTCTTGCAGGTGATCGGCCCCCAGTAGCCCGTGCTCGAGCAGATGTGAAAGTGCAGCCTGGTGAGCAAGTGATATTAAGGGGCGCAGAAAGTTCTGATGACCATAGAATTGTGCGTTATGAATGGACACTGCTTCATGGCGATTCCTCTGTCATTATAGAGGTGAGAATGGATAAAGTTGTAAAACCATGCCTTAGGGTTACATAAGAGACGCCAATGTTGGATCAGGCCGCTGGCCCATCCAGTCCAACACTCTGTCACAAAGTGCCCAAAAATATCAGGTGCCATCAGGTGGTCCAGCAGTGGGACCAGGACACTAGAAGCCCTCCCACTGTTGCCCCCCCACCCCCAAGTACCAAGAATACAGTGCATCACTTGCCCCAGCCTGTGATTTCCTATCTTTACCTTGTGGCTAATAGCTCCATATGTTTATCCAATTCCCTCTTGAAACTGTCCATGCTTGTAGCTGCTGCCACCTCCTGTGGCAGTGAATTCCATGTGTTAACCACTCTTTGGGTGAAGAAGTACTTCCTTTTATCTGTTCTAACCCGACCGCTCAGCAATTTCATGGAGTGCCGACAAGTTCTTGTATTGTGAGACAGGGAGAAAGGTACTCTTTTTTCGACCTGCTCTATCCCATGCATAATGTTATAAACCTCAATCATGTCACCCCTCAGCCGTCATTTCTCCAAGCTAAAGAGCCCCAAGCGCTTTAACCTTTCCTCATAGGGAAAGTGTTCCAACCCTTTTATCATTCTAGTTGCCCTTTTCTGCACTTTTTCCAATGCTATAATATCCTTTTTGAGGTGTGGTGACCAGAACTGTACACAGTACTCCAAATTAGGACGCACCATCGATTTATACAGAGGCATTATGATCCCGGCTGATTTGTTTTCAATTCCCTTCCTAATAATCCCCAGCATAGCATTGGCCTTTTTTATTGCAGTCACACACTGTTTTGATATTTTCATTGAGTTATCTACTACAACTCCAAGATTTCTCTCTTGGTCAGTCTCTGCCAGTTTGGACCCCATTAACGTGTATTTATAGTTTGG